TATAGGCATGAATAGCTAGATTGCTATTGGCTGTTTCAATGTGCAATAGCCAATAGCAGGCTCGTTATTGCTACTGCCCACTGCTGCTCTCAATCAGGAGCTGATGGAGAACCTTAAGACCACCTCTGCTGATTGACAACAGCAGAGGGCGGGTGCAATAGCCAGCCTGCTATTCGCTATTGCAAATTGAAATAGCCAATAGCAACCTAGCTATTCATTTTCATGCTGTCTTTTTTTTTCTTTGATGGCGGCCGGCGGCTCTGATGTCAGGATAAAAAAAAAAAAAACAGACAGCAGGGAAAGGGTTACTCTGCTACATAGAACAGATCAAACCTTTCTGGGATAAAATGTTTCTATTCAGGAGAGTTGAGATGTCTGAATACATGAACATGTCAGTGAAAAATGGGTAAATTTTCTATTAACCGTTGCTGTAGGGCTACCTGGCACTGCAAGGGTTACGTGCTTGTTTTGGTCTAGGAGTGAAAATAAAAAAGTTATACTCACCCGATCCTCCGAGCCAGCTTGCCCTTAGACCGGACCCTGGAGCGTCTCTCCCCCTCTGCTGCAGCGGTCTAAGGATCCTCGAGCCATCACTTTCTATACACAGTGTATTGGACATACTGTAAGGACACCGATGGACATTCTATTGCAGGTGCAGGAGTGGAGACAGGCTACAGGGACTGCTGTCACAGCTGGCCGGCTCAGAGGATAACTTTGTTATTTTCCTCCCTCGACTAAAATGATCAGTTAACCCTTGCAGTGCGTGTGGGTAGCCCCCCTGAAAGGGTAAATAAAAAGGGACCTGTAGTTCTCTTTAACAACACAAGGACTCACAGGAACGTAGTTTAAAATGATTGATCCGTATACCACAGCATAGATACGTGTGTCTTAACTCACATAACATCAAGAACTTTGAAAACGTTCCTCACTGGGAGGAACTGAAGTTCACAAATGATTTACTAACACTTCTGCAAGATTAAACAAAATCCTAAAAATATGACCTGTTGTTGGCACAATTAAACACTGATATAAATTTGCGAGTTTGCATGACGATGAACACAAGCAGGTTAAACACACAAACCTGTTCTAGTTTCCTGCACCTTTTTACCCTGTGTAAGTAGTTAGTGACAATGGTACCTCTTTTTAAATGTAGCTCACAAGTGCATAACCTCACTGATCTGAAATGTAACAAGCCAGAGACAGGCTCCTTCAAAATCCAGTTCAAACTTGAAAGGATCCTATTTTATTTGTACACAATTCAGCTATTTATTCATTTATTACAAGTATTTATATAGCGCTGACAATTTATACATTGCTTTACATAGTTGCACATTCACATCAGTCCCTGCCCTTGAGGATCTTACAATCTAAGGTCCCTATCTCACATGCATACATACAGGGCCAATTTAGACCAGAGCCAATTAACCTTCCAGCATGTCTTTGGAGTGTGGGAGGAAACCCACGCAAGCACAAAGAGAAAATGCTAACTCCTTGCAGATAGTTGATGCTGAGCCTGCTCAGTATCGATATTTCTACTGAACAATTCGTTTCTGGGGTCAAATTAAGGTATGATTTAATGTGCCTTTTTTGGTTATTGAATATTGAAAGCTAAGGTCCAGGGATATATATTAATTCATGTATCTCTGTACTTAACACTACTTAATACTTACAAATACTTAAAATGTATTTATTTTTTATGCAAATGGAATTCATTTGACTTGGTATCAGCCCCTTGCCGTCACTGTACAGCAGAGCTCAGAGAGGGGAGGGAGAAACCGTGCAAGGAACCAAAGCAGGTGTATTGCAGTTCAAGGAGCATGCCAATAGGATGAAAAGCGCCAGATTTATACAAGAGCTCATCAGGGTACTGATTCTTGTTTTCCTGCCCAATGACAGTGAGGGCAAAGAGGGGACCTCTAGGTGGAAATAAAACTGCAGCAGAAAAAGTTTAGGTCACCTTCCTTGCCACTCAAGACTGTACTGTGTGGCAAACCTCAGGTGTTGATTGACAAATACAATTCCTTTTGGCAGGTAAAAAAGCTCTTTTATATGCTTTGTTTTGTCTGCACATTCATCTGTTTGCCTTAAGTTCAGCTTTAAGTATGTTTTATAAACCTAATAATGTTGTAGCTTGTAGCGTGGGTTGTCATGGTCTGCCAACTCAAGATGATGACTACAGAACTGCTAGAGCCACTTTAGGCCAGGGCAAGTAAAGGAGATGGCTGACTGCTCTGAGATCTGAAGTAGGTGGTATAGGAGGAATTGGGAGGCCAAGGGACATGTTTGGCAAAATACGTTTTGAAAGTAAAGTTATTCTTTGAAGTCGATAAACTGTGAATTTGATAGTTCTTTGATAAAAATGAATGTGTTCTCACTGGTTATGCTGATACAAATTGCCCCAACAATAACCTTGGTTTGATTTTCATGCTGCCAAGAAGTGTATAAAGATTTATTTATATGTCCATTTCCTTAAATATAAAGGCTTATAAATTAGAAAATTTTAGTAAAGCGTTGAAAGACAAGCATCTGTCAGACTGGCTGTGTTAATAAATATTTAAGGAGCCTATTTATGTGTGGCAAGCAACCCTGAGAACTGAATGACTTCACTAATTACATTTTTAAAGCACATCAGCATATTATTTTGAGCACTAATCAATTCTCTGACACAAGTTTTACAGTATCCGTGAGAGCAATTGCAATTTACTTTTTTATGCTTTTATTTTATTATTTTGTCATGCAGAGAAATGATGAATTCAGAAAGTTGATTTCATGTGAAGGGTACATAATAGCAGAACATCTTTTGTAACATGTTTAACAAAAAAAAGCAGTGCAAGATAAAATTAAAATAATGTTACTTATGGTAGATGTGTCACTAACCGAAAGCTTCTAATACCCAGGGAAGGTAGTCTTATTCCACAATATGAATTAGGGGCAAGACTTATGATGGCCATTGCAGATAGGTGAAGTTAGGAACCTACGTGCAGACATCTCTTCTATTGTCTTCAAGAGTTATGTGAAGTTAAAAGCTTAGTTACCGCTGTGAACACAAAACCCTACAGCTAAAATACATGCCAGTGTGCACATGTAGTATAAAGAGTAAGCTTTGAGTGCTAGGCAACCGATCTGTCCAGTTTACATTCATTGTAACTGCTCATCGACTGTGTTTGGTACTTTTCACAGAGGTCTGCAATAGCACCCAACAAGCCAACATGTTTATCTTAGCGGAGGGTTCCCTTAAAGAAGAACTCTGGCCATTTTAAAAATTAACCCTTGCAGCGAGACTACCCCGCACTGGCAAGGGTTAAGTGCTCATTTTGGTCTCTGGGCTACATTGAAAAAGATATACTCACCTGATCCTCAGTCATGCCTGTCTGCTAGGCCTTTTCTCCCCTGGGCTGTGGCAGTCTAAGTACTGCCGACTTCATCACATTTCATTCAAGTCCACTGCGGGACCGAGGATCGGGTGAGTGTATCTTTTTTTATTCTGGCTTCTAGATCAAAAAGAGCCCATAACCTTTGCAGTGCAGGGGTAGCCCAACTGCAAAGGTTCATTTTTCAAATGTCCGGAGTTCTTCTTTAAGATTTCACCAAACAAGAATAATTAGGCGACCATACCATCTACTATCAATGTGCATACTCACTGATACATATGACACATTTTCGCTAAGGGCAGAATAATTCATCTCCCCTTACTTCCTGGAACTCTGACCATGCGCATCATCTCAGGGGAGGAAAAATGACTTTTCCTCCCGAGATCTCACAAGATTTTTTAGTTTACAGGTGAGATTTCCAAGGAAGGCACTGGTGGTGTAGCCTTCCCAGGATTCATCTTCTCAGGATTACATCACCAGTGCCTCACTCAAAGAGGAAGTTGAAAAATAGTCATTGTAAGTAAAAGCAAAATATGTTTATTTAACTAATGAATGTAAGCTGATCAGACATCCCAACGCTCCCGGACGTTCCGGGAGTCTCCTGTTATTAGATAGCGGCTCTCGGCCGCCCAGGGAGAGATAAATATTTTCTCCTGGAAAGGTTTACTCTGCTTGATCTAGCAGAGCAAACCTTTCCCTGCTGTCTGTTTTTTTTTTAATTTTTTCATTATTCTGATATTAGAGCCAACGACCGCAGTCAGAGTAAAAAAAAAAGCAAAAAAAAAAACAGCATAGAAATGAATAGCTTGATTGCTATTGACTATTTCAATTTGCAATAGCAGACTAGCTATTGCACCCAGCCACTGCTCCTGTCAATCAGCAGAGGTGGACCTGAAGTTCTCCATCAGGTCCTCCTCCTGCTGATTGACAGTAGTGATGGGCTCAGGCGTGTTCGCAGCTCCACATGCCGAGCCCGCCAGGAAGCTGACAGCGCCGCAGCGCCAATCACAGGTACTGAGACATCATCCCGGTCCGCAGCTGCAAAGATCGGGATATGTCTCAGTGCCTGTGATTGGCGCTGTGGCGATGTCCGCTTCCTGGCGGGCTCGGCACGTGGAGCTGCGAACACGCCCAAGCCCATCACTAATTGACAGCAGCAGAGGCCAGGTGCAAAAGACAGCTTGCTTTTGCAAATTGAAATAGTCAATAGCAATATAGCTATTCATTCCTATATTCCTATGCTGTTTTTTATTTTTATTCTGATGGCAGCAGCTGTCAGAATACTTAAAAAAACAACAAAAAACTGCAGATAGCACGGGAAGCAATAGCTACTTTGCTATCTGTCATCATTTCAGGGGGGTGCTCTTCAACGGGGGGACAGAGGGCACATCCCTGAAATGAGAAGGGCACCTCCCTGAAATTACTTTTTTCAGGTTGGGATCCCTGGGCGATTATATACAGTATAGCATGCAGAGCTGCATGCTGGTGTGATTTTTAGTGAAAGGGGTTAAAGCACTATGTAATGTGTCCGTGGTATATAACTACAGTATATGAAAAAAATGATTATCTCCTTTGTGTTACCTCTTAAGAGAGAAAGGTTTTTTTAATAATACATTTAATTAACTTTACCTTTCTATAGCTCCAGTGCTGATTGCCCTTCATTCCATGACAGTCATAAAGGGTGACAGGACTATTACGAGAAATAGCATCGAAGCAGAATTTTCTTGTGTGAAGCGGTTCCCCGGGACGGATGTCCTCTCTCCATCCAAAGGTGAAGAGCTGTAGAACAACATTATATATCGTTACTACAATGACAACAATTACGGAGGCACTTTAGCTGCTATCTGGATAGCACTTTCCAAAACTGAAAGCCTATACTTCACAATATGTATTAATAGATTTCTGTAGACTGCTTCTGTTGGAGACCTAATTTCCCAATGCTGCTTTTACAAGATGCAGTGTCTATATTACATCAGCTTTAATAACAACAGTACATTTGTTAAAGCCTAACTGAACTTTTAGTTTAATTTAGCTAAATACATTCCAGGTGCTTCAAAACAAAAAAAGTTTGTTTTCTTTAGCAAGCATCCACAGCCTGAGTAGCAAAGCCTGTCCATAGCCAGCACGCTGCAGAAAATTAAACTTTCTTTCTGTGTGGAAGCAGTGGTTTCTCTGCAGAGGCCAAACCACTCAGTCAGACCTAAAGCTCTCTAATCGCGCAGGGAGGAAGAGCTTCACTGAATGTAGTGCTATTGGTCTGACTCAACAGGGGATGGACTACAATCTCACGTTTAGTTTACTGATTTGTATTGAGATTGTAGTCCATCACGTGAGTGAGCTTGGAGTAGTGGCTACTTTACAACACACACAGGGACCATAGAGAACAAAAGTAGCCACCCTCCAGAAGGAAGGACAAATTCAGAGATGATTTGAGGATCTACAGCTGAGTGATACACAAATAAGATACATTTTTGTTAATAGTTAAGGCACTTGAATGCATTTTTAATATTTATAAAATAATGTTATGCATCCCATGTACGCTGGGCAATAATGGTGCAGTTTATTTTTACAGATCCCCAAGCTTTCAGCTTAAGAAGTAGAGGAAACATTTTTTTCTTTTTTATATATATTTTTCTGTTCTAACTAAAATAGAATATTGCTTTATTTTGTTAAAGGCATTCCTTCATATTTCAGACATGAACTGTCAAATATGTCTTAGTCAGGTTGATTTATAAAACGTTAGCTGAACAACAATAATTTTCCCTTCATTTTTTTTCTTTTTTTGCTATTAAGATGATATTTGGTTGGCACAGGATTTGGCAAGACTAGATACTTAAGTCATATATCTCAATGTGCTTTGTCTAACTGTGGACCATGAAGTCCATTTGTAAAGCACTGCATCATCAGCCTTTCAAATACCATTGCACTATATCTCCCATGCTGTGCCTGAATATATGGCGCTACCTTTATAAACATGCACAGCATAGTGCAGTGTGTGATGTCCAGTGGTAGTGCTTTTTAGACACTTAATGCTTAGTTTCCTTTATAAAGGAGTCGATAGGTGGTGTACTGATATAGTGGTAGAAACATACATTGTACTGTATATACTGTAACTGTACCCCATAAGCTTGTTTTAGTTGTGAATTTAGGCCAAAGGAGCTAAAAGTCCCGTTCTTGTATAGAAAGGGGAGGACTTTTTTTTACTATAGTTCTATGTACCAGATTACTGTTGAATCGGCTTTTATTAGGTGATGTGTTTACATGTCAATATTAGGGATAAGCAAATCTGTCTGGGTTTGGTTCATGAACAGTTTTGTAAATGTTGCTCAATTCCCCACTATGAAAACTTTGTGGCTAACCCGTGTGAAG